TGGCGGCCAATTTGCGCACCACTGCCACCGGCAGATCCACTCGACACCTGTCGGCCAATCGGAGCAAATAAATGAGACAATCGCTGAGCTCGTCCTCCAGAGCGTGGCGTTCAGTGGGTGTCCAGTCGTGAAGACCGACGGGACACTCGCCGCGCCATTGGAACAGTTCGGCCAACTCTCCCACTTCGCCGACGAGCGCCAACAGTACGTTACGCGGGCTGTGGAACTGATCCCAATCCCTGTCGGCCACAAACTTGGTGTGCATTTTGTGCATCTCTTCGAGTGTCGGCCGATCGCTGAACGCGAAGTGATGGCCACCACTACTGTGTCCGCCATCACTACCGCCCGCCGAGTGTTGGCCACCGTTCACTCCTAAGGTCAGTGTCTGGTCTTGAGATGCCGGTGGTGTGGGTCCGGTATCGGCGGCCAATTGCTTGTGTTGTACGCTATCGTCCGCATCGTGTGGTCTCTTCACTGGTCCACCGGTGATAGTGTTGTGGTTATTGTCTTTGGTTGAGGCCATTGTTGGCTGAGATCGGGTGTGTTTTATGGCCGCAAAGAGTGGACACGTGTTTTGACGGCTAATTACTGGCAATTCATACGAGTTTTGGGCGAAACATGTGTTTCTCAATGCATTAGTCAATAGACGGCGTGTTTTGAACATTGCTTTCACTTTCAATGCGTTTTCAATACGTTTATTGAATGAACTGTTTGTATGCAATGATTGTACAATTTGTACACTTTAGGTATAGTGAACACCCCTTATTAGCACTATGTAAGTACTAGATGATTGTGCTGGTTCAGTTGATCCAGGTTAAATTGAAATAAATTGCATTAATGAGCTATAATTATGGTTAATTTGTGGCAGCAAAACACTGGTATCAAGTTTCCAAACATGACTATTATGTATATTTTTGGCACGTTTTTGATGTATTTGCAATCCTTTTAAGTATTAAACAATACTATTGTATATATAAAGCAGTAATAATAACGTCCGACACGATTGAGACCCTCTTTTCAAACCACTGTTTGGAAAATTTAATGTGAATTAAAAGTGAAAACTTTGTTTTAATCACAGATTAAATTATGGTTTATTTAATTTAAAAAACAATATAAAAACTAAAAACACACGTTTTCTATATATATCTACATCTATATATATCTATATATAATCTACATCTAGGTGATTTTGTGTTTTTACCCCTATTTATATATATATATATATATAAATAGGGGTAAAAACACAAAATCACCTAGATGCAGATCTAAATGCAGAGATTCTCAGCGACGGCTAAATTCCATAAGAAATTCTCTAAATTGGGATTCAATTTCCTCTCTTTGAGCGCTTCCAGGGTTAAACTCGGGCCGACACTGGTCTCGGGGGACAACACCTCCTCCTCCCCAACCGACCCCTCTTTTGCGGGACTACTTTTGGCCGAAGCGGTGGCCATCCGTTTCAGTGTTTCAATGAGTTCGCGATTCTTATCACAGATGTCTTGAATGAGATCCCAATTGGTGTTCGTCTCGCTGTCGGCCTGTCTGGTCATGAAAACGGCGATCTCTTTATGTGTTTTGGTCATCGCGAACGCATCCCTCGACCCGTGCGAGACAGTGATCTCAATGGCCGCCAGATTCACGTATATATCGTACAGATCGGTACGACTCTCGACATCGGTGTCCAGAAAGCCGGCGATATAATGACGGCGAGCCGTGAGATCGCCGATCTCTGCCGGCGACTGGAGCTCAACGCACGGGTAGAGTATTTGATAGCAATCGGGCCATCGGTGCCAAACAAACGCCGGCAATACGCGCACAAACTGTAACAGTGTGTCCAACTTGTGGTGATAGA